AGGATGCAGACCGGCGATTTCATTTTGTTTGATTGTTTGATTTCTGCTCGGCGTCGTGACCAACGTCCAGTGCATTTTGGCGCAGTCGGCTGAAGGGTCTCCGGCGTAGCCTCAAGACTTTCAGTGAGCCACGACGACCTAAACGGAAATCTGGCCGCGGAGGGGAGCGAACGGGTCCATGGCCTGGCACGGCATGGAGTGGAGTGGAGTGCTCCTGTTGATGATGAAAAACGCACTCGAATTAAAAGGTTTCGGGGGGAAAAGGGAACGGAACCGGACATCAACCTGATCGGGGGCAGGGCTGCAGCGCTTTGGGGGGTTGAACCACGACGAGTGGTTGCAAATGAATCAAATTAAAATATTTATGGGTATAATCTGTCACTTGAAGAAGGGAACTTTCGCCGCACAGTTGGGGAAGTCAAAATGAATGTATAATAATATGCATTCCTTCAAGAAATCAATATCAGTTAAGACTCACATATTAAGAAAATAAATAACTAAGCTGAGGCTAAAAAACTATGTATTTGTTATTATCCCGCTTGTCCCTTCTAATTTTCATCACAATTTAATTTAATAACTGAAATTAATCTGCCTTTTGAAGTACATAATTGGCACCCAGGCCAAGCTCAGGAAAACGAGCCCCAAAATGGGAATCTCTTTGCAAGAATCAGTTGCACTTCCACTGCAGTCTAACTGCAGTTATCCTGCGTGTGTGCTGGGCGAGGGGTGGGGTCTCAGAAGGACCTGCGAGGAGAAGAGTTGAGTTGAGTTGAGCTGAGCCAGACAGCCAGCATATTGCAATTTCGCAAATCAAACAAAAGGCAGCCGCAGAAAAAAACCCAACATCGCGGGCGGGGAGGGGAAAGGCGCTCGACCAAAAGGACAATGCACAGGCCGAGGATGGCACAGGAGGAATCAGGCCTCAGGAGGCAGGACGCAGGACTCAGGACACAACTCGGCTAATATGCAGTGCACATGCAGCGAGTCTTACGCGGAGGAGGAGCTCCGCGAGGATGAGGGGCTTTCAACTTTTTTCATGACTCTTGTTTCGGCAGTTTGTTTGCCCAGCAAATGCATCCAATGCAATTTTTCGGGCCGCAATATAGACGCAAGTCCTTGCTGCAATCAACTTTGCCAGGAGGCCGGGAAACGGGAGCCAGAAGCCAGCAACCAGGATACCAGAAAATGGTGTGAGAGACCCAGTAGCAGCGATGGTTAAGCGGACGCTTCGCAAGTCAATCAGTCAAAAAACAAAACAAAAAAAAAAATCAACAACCGAAACAAGGAAAATAAACACAAAAAGTCGCAAGCTGGCTAAAGTCCTTATTATCCTTGCATGTTGCTGGAGAAAAAAATGCAATATCGAATGCATTTGGAGCTGTAGCCACGCCTCTCCTCGCTATCAACTAAACGCACTGCAGCCGCAAAGAAATTGCAAAAATGAAAACAACAAAAAATAAGGGGAAAAATTGGTAAATGGAAAGCAACTCACACACTCATATATGAGAGAGAGAGAGATTTTCAATTAAAAGGAATTGCTGCTCTATGTAGATTTTTGTGCTTATTAGCCCGCCTATCCGGCCTACGCCCCTCAGCCACCTCCTGATGCCAGCCTCCAAAAGCCACTCGAAAGCCCTGCACATTTGGTAATCAATTTCTGTTGTTGCTGTCGTTGTTGTGCGGCGGCTGACTGACAATCTTCGCTAATAAGCTGCCCCCTGTTGCCGCCTGAATAGGGCCTACAAGCACTGAGAAAACTAAAAGCAAATATATTTATTAAAAATGTATGTGAAGTCTTCAAAGTGAAAATAAAAATCTATTTACATTAGAAATGGTTGAAATTAAAATTCAAATCTCTTTAAATTTTAAAAACAAATTAATTTCTAACTTCTTATTAAACTCCTAAAACCTAAAGACTTTATCCTTAAAGCTTAATACTTTTTTCAAAATTTCTTAAAAAAAACCCCATACTTTCATAGAAATTTCTCTACGTGTAGCCTCGAGCACAGATGAGATGATGCACTTGCATTATGCAGAATTCAGATTTCTGAATTGCGCCGCCGAAATGCATTCAGTGTCTGCTTCTGGGCCCTGTTTCTGTTGTTGCCGCTGCTTTTCAATTAGGCCAATCCGTGCCAAGCCAAGTCGAGCCAAGCCGTCGAGGCTCTGGTGAGAGGCGAGGATTAGTTCCATCATTATCTATTCCGCATGTGGGCAGAAGTGTCGCATTGCCAGGACAAGAGGGTAGAGAATGGAGCGGGAGAGAGGGGCAAAACTGCCGCATGGGCAAAATATTATTGACAATTCTTCGGGCCGAGGTCGAAACAATGCCGTGTGGAATGCAAATCCTTCAGTCAGCTAATATTGTTTATCCCTAAGCAGTGCTTTCCCCGTTCCCGGGAAGGAACAAAGCCGAAAAAACTATGCAAAAATATAACAAAACCGAGGCGAATCGAAGGGAAAACTCTTTGACAAAAGGCAGGTAGCGGGGTAGCGGGAAAGCGGGTCCGGGGATGAATGAATGGATGAATGAAGGAACGAACGAATGTCCTGCGATGCAAAGTAAGTGTAAAGGATTTGCCACGACAGCCCAAAAGGGCTGAAGTGGCCGACAAATGATTGGCGAGAATGCCCCGGGAAAACTGTGAGAAAATCAGGCGTTTTCTTGATGAAAATCACAGAATTTTCCCCCACCCTTCCATCGCCAGACAGCTGAAAATTGTGATTCCTGCTTTTATTGTCGTCTGAGATGTACAATGCATTCCATTTTCCTCATTTGGCCGTCCTTTGTTTGGTCCTTGATCGGAGGTTGCATTTGACACTTTCCAAGGAAGCGTTGTTTGAACGGGTTAATTTGTGTATTTAGCCGAGTGGCAGCTGTGCTGCGGGATTTATGTATATTATTGAATATCGACACTGGAGCAGCAGCGGCGTCTGAGTAAACCCAATTAAATCCCTAAGTCGGAGCACACAATTTGCGGCACGTTCGTCCTGCATTTTGCACCTTTCGCGATGCGGCAAGAAGGACGCAAAAATGCAGATCACGGAGCCCAAGGAGTCACTCCTGCCCTCGAACTCGGTGTGGAAATCGATATGCACCCGCATTCGTCTGTCAAGATGCTGTTCTTCTCTGGTTCTGTGATCTCTGGCGTCCATAATTCATCGGGGCAATGTGCAAAAGTGGCTGTATCGCATATCCTGTGGCTGCTTTGTTTGCCGCAGATCCTTTGTCCACGATCCGAAGTCAGCTGCAGTTGCAATCTGTTTTTTCCGCATTCAGCACGATCAAATATTGCCGAAGAAATGGCTGGCAATATCCTAGTGGATATTGCATCCCGATCAGGTGGCGCGTGTCCTTTTGTGGCCAACTGTGATTTGTCGGCCTGAATTGCATTATTTTTCTCCAACTATTTTCAGGGCGTCAGCTGGTGCTGTGCGTGCCACGTGTATCTGGCAGATACTTTTCCCGAAACCCTCAGCCTTATCAGCCGTATGTCGAATTACCCGCTTAGCCATTAACATGCCACTTTGGCCTACTTGTCTTGGCTTCTTTGGCTCGTTAATATGCAAATAAGCTTCAAGCTAAACAACATAAAGTAACTTGAATGCCTCAATTCATTGACAGGAATTTCTAGACAAATTCTTACTGAAAATACAGCTAACAGAATTAATTGGACTAAAGATAGCTTCTGGGAATTGGAAAATATCTTGAGTTTTACAGTTTCATTTGTAATGTTCTATTTGAAGTAAGATTAGAGAGGAAGTATATTGATACCATAGATATGTAGATACCATTTAGTTGTGTCTACTTTCTTAAATATTTTTATATAAGCTTTGTTTTGTAGAGGTTTTTTTAAATTTCCAATTAAAAAGTAATCTCATTAAAAGTCTTAAAAATAAAAAATGTATGGACTTCTTTTTCTCTTTTTATTTATATATTTATATTTAATTTAGTTAAGTGAAGCCATGAACTGTGAACTCCTTTATCTAAATCAAAAGTCATGAACGCCCCCAAAATGTTACCGAATTCGAATTTAAACTGGAAATTATTCCAAAGAAAGATATTATTTTTCATTATATTTTATACACTTTTGTACCCGTTTGCTTCAAGTATTTGCAATGCTTGTTTTATTATTTGTCGTAGGCCATTACTTTCCATTTTCAATCTCAAAGCCAAAAGGATAACGTTCATCTGCCTATGCGCCGGGCTTAAAGGATGTCCGAAAGCTTTTTAATTACGGCCTGCCTTCAAGGAGGGAACGGAATGGATCGGGAATCGAGGAGGAATCACAGAAACTGTTATTACAATCATCAGCGTCTCTATCCCTCGCCTTGTCGCCTACTTTGTCATTGTGACTTTTTCTCTCTTTTAATGCCAGATGCCAAATGAAAGCCAGAAAGATATTTGCCGGCCCAAAAGAAATGCACTTTATTATTATTATTTGTTGTGGCGACTTTTTAATCATTCCCTAACGAACGGCGGCGGCGGATGGCAGGGGGGGTTCGGGTTGCCACTGGCCGATTCTTATTGGTGCACACACCAATATAGCAATAAAACCCAGACAGACATGGCCATCGGCTGCTCCCACACTTGCGACGAATGGCGAGTCCGCCAGTACGAACACCACCACAAGAAAACCCACACCAGGGCCGAAGGCAGCCGAAGACGAAGACAAACTACAATAAAGGCAAGAAAACTTCGCCGGCAAATTCGCCGCAAAGACACGAACCACAATGAGGCGAAGAAGAAGAAGTGCTTATCCCTCCCCTTCGCAGTGGTGACGTCAGGCGGCAAGAAGTGCTCAAGGAAACGACCTTCAGCGGCGAATGTGTGGAAAGAGTGGAAGAGTGAACGCAAGAGCGAAGGAAGAGCAGGTAATGGAGGAAGAGCAGAGTGAGCGTCAAGAAGAGCGCAAGAAGAAGGAAATGTGGAAAAAGATGCTCTCCGCTCTCGTGCTCTCGCAACAGCTCGTCTGAGACGCTTCAAGACCTGTCTTCGGGATTGGCTTCAGTGCGTTCGACGAAAAAGATACGTATCCGGCAGTTCGCTCTCACTCTTCAGATACATTGGACGCGGCTTTCTGTGGTCTGTTTTCTGCTTTCTGGATTAACGCTAATTCGTTTTTGATTGTGAGTAAAGTGTGTAATTAACTGGGCACGCAGTTTCTGTTTGTTAGATAAGCGTCCACCAGCTCCGATCCCCGGGGAGATTCAGTGTGTCTTCAAGGGGGCGTTTTCTTAATGGTTTCGATTCCGCGGGGAATCTGCCAAAAGTAATAAGGTCAGCAAGTGTGTGTGTGTGTATATATATCCAGGCGTGTGTGGGAAGTCCAGCGGGACAATGGACTTGCAGACTGGCGGCGCCTGAATGTCCCCAAAGTCGCTGATGATGACTCAGCGGTGCAAGAAGTTTTGGTGAAGGAGGAGGGAGAGTGGGGTTCAAGAAAGGCCAGAGAGCCAGAATCAAAATAGAAGAAGCAGGCCAAAGGCGCAGACAAAGCAAAAGAAGCAGGAGAAGAAGCAGAAGGAGAGAAGAGGAAGAGCCGAAGATCTCGCGGATAGAGATACAAAAGGGGGAACGCGGGACGGGAGACCCGCATATGTTTCCATGTGTTATTTGATGGTGTCTTGGGAAAACGCAGAGAGCGAGGGGCGTTGGAAAGTGGGGAGGCAGTGGGGGGTGACCCCTAGGTGGGGTGCATTGAACTTGTCGCAGGGGGGGAGCAAGGGGAGAGATTAAAACCCAACTAAGAGATCATCGAGATCACGATTTCCCAGAATTAAGAGCTGTGTGTACTTGTTGTTGTGGCGAATTTCCACACACAGCGCTGCCTTGTTGTTGTTATTAATTGTGCAATGAGAAAGAGGAAAGAAGATGGAATGGGAATGGGAAGAGAGGAGCAGCAAGAAGAGCAGGCAAAAGTAATAAACACAAAGACCAAAAGTGGCAGCTGCAATTGAATTATTTCCAAACAACACACATGCAAGCATACATACATACGCACACAGGCAAGGCAAGGAGCAGAAAAAGGAAGCGAAGAGCGACAGCTAAAGGAGACGAGGGATGACGAGAGCCAGCAAAACAACAAGTCAGGCAAGGATCAAGGACACACACGCACACACTCATGCAAAGGAGTGCAGGCAGGCAAACCTGAAATTGTTACACGAACCCAAAGGCACAGGCAAAGGCAAAGAGAGAAACGACACCGAACGAACGGTCGGGAGAAAAGAAAAGGCAGATTAAGGACCCGTTCCTTTGTAGTTGTAGTTGTTTTTTTTTTTGTCAGAATCCGGATAGAGGTAGGTAAAAACCATTAGGGTAGTTCCATAATAGGTGAGTGTGTGTGTGTATATATGTAGGTAGAGATCGTCAGGACATGCAAAAAATGGGAAGAACAGAGAGGAGTAAAGAAAATGACTCGGCACAAAGGGAAAGATTAGTTTTTATTTGGCCAAAGGGAAAATATTCGAGAGGGTTCGGGGACAAAGCAAATCACTTATTGCACCGTGGACCAAAATGTGGTAAAAATTTGTGATATTTATGTCTCATTAAAATATTTACTATATTTCCAAAGAACTGTTTTACATTTATATTTATTGAATAATAATAAAAATATGGACGACCTTGCTTAACTAAACAACAAATAAAGAACATGCCAAACAATAGAACTCGAAAAGAATACTAATTGATAGAATGCATTGTAAACTTTACCATTTGTTAGTAGTAAAAAATAATTAAAATGAAAAATTTGGGTAAACAATGGAAAAGTGGAACAAAGTTAGCGAAATGAGGTTTTCTTGGTTATAGTACAGGATAAGTACTAATTAATATTCCAGATATGTTTTATGGTTTTATTTCAATTATTAAAGGAATTAAAAAAGTTCTAAGTAAAATTAAACAAATATAAAACATGGTCCATAGTGCATTTAAAGATTTTCCCTTTTATAGTTAATTGTGGGTTAGAGAATCCCAAATGCCGCCCCATTACTCTCCCGATGGTTTCCCTTAAGACCGCTAACGTACGAATTTCCAATTGAAATGGCAGCAACCTCTCATCCATACACTCTCTTTTCTCTCTTGCCCGCAGAAGGCAGCTGCTTGCTCTTGCCGATGAAGAAGGAAACCGAACACCAGCTGGGACGTATCCTCGCCAACTAGCAAACAAGGACGAAACAGGGGCACACGATCGGAGCGAAGGATCACAAAGGGCTCGTGCCACGCCAAGCAGGGGGTTGGTGATAGCGCCTCCTGAAAGGAATTCCAACTCATGCGGTCGTGGGTCGAGACAAAGTGATCCTGGTGCAAGGAGCAGGACGACAGGAGCCGCTTATCAGCCATGCACGGAAACCGGGGTGGCTGAGGGTTGAAACTCCGGTCTTATCTTAAAGCTCGAAGGGTGTCGAAATCGAGCAGATGTGCAAACAACACCACAACGCAAATGACGGATGACTGACGGAGAGCCACTCGTTTCACCTTGAGGGGAGGCACCAGTTTCCAGCGATCGACGCGTGCCCGGCACACTCAGAGATCCCAAAGAATAATCCAACTAAGCAACCTTCCACTGAGCACTCGAATTTAAAAAATGTCACTAGAAAATAGCTTGGGAGCTCTAGATTTCACATCGACTACTGAGAGTGCGACGAAAGCAGTGCCAGGAATCGAAAAAATAACAGCAGATCCCGAAGCGATGATATCAGCAAACATATACAAATCTGCTGACAAGGAGAACGAACCGGAGCTTACTAATGCGCCGGGTACCATCATGACCACTGGCGCCGTAGCTCAACCAGCCACACCAACGGTAGCGACGGCCACTTCGGCGTCTGCCTCTGCCACCCCCGCTGGCAAGGATGCCACCGACGGGGGCACCGCAGAGCTTAAGTTCCAGTCGTACGTGAACGGCAACGGCAACGGGGTGTACAAGATCCTGAAGACGCTGGGCAAGGGCAATTTCGCCAAGGTAAAGCTGGCGCTGCATGTACCCACCGGCCGGGAGGTGGCCATCAAGGTGATCGATAAGACGCAGCTAAACACTAGCGCCCGCCAGAAGTTGTACCGCGAAGTCAAGATTATGAAGCTGTTGAACCACCCGAACATCATTCGCCTCTTCCAGGTGATCGAGTCGGAGCGTACGCTGTACCTGGTGATGGAGTACGCCAGTCGGGGTGAGCTCTTCGATCATCTGGTGAAGAACGGGCGGATGCGCGAGCGCGACGCCCGTGTGATCTTCCGGCAGCTGGTCTCGGCGATTCAGTACTGCCACAGCAAGTTCGTGGTGCACCGTGACCTTAAGGCGGAGAACCTGCTGCTTGACCAGCATCTGAATATCAAGATAGCGGACTTTGGCTTTGGCAACACCTTCGATCCGAACGCGCACATGGAGACGTTCTGCGGCAGTCCGCCCTATGCCGCGCCGGAGCTCTTCATGGGCCGGAAGTACGCCGGGCCGGAGGTGGACGCCTGGTCGCTGGGCGTGGTGCTGTACACATTGGTCTCCGGATCCCTGCCCTTCGATGGAGGCACTCTGAAGGAGCTGCGCGACCGCGTTTTGCGGGGCAAGTATCGCGTGCCCTACTACATTTCCATGGACTGCGAGAACCTGATGCGCAAGTTCCTGGTCCTGAATCCCGCCAAGCGCACATCCCTGTCGGCCGTCATGTCGGACAAGTGGATCAACCTGGGCCACGACGAGAGCGACAGACTACGTGTGTATCGGGAGAAGCCGCTGGACCTGCAGGACCCCAATCGCTACGACGTGCTGGTATCCATGGGCCACAAGCACCGCGACGTGGTCAAGTCGGTGAAGGGGCAGCTCTTTGACGACATCTACTGCACCTACATGCTTCTCGACGTGGCTAAGCCGCGCTACTCGCAGCGCCACGCGCGATCTTCGGGCGATGTGAGCAGTACTCCACAGACAGGCCTGCCACCGCCGTCGATCACAACTCCTACTGTGACCATAGCTCAGGTGACCCTGGCGATGGACAACAGTCCGCCGCTCACCCAAGCCCAAACTAGTCGTCCAATAGCGCCTCGCCTGACGAACGGCCTCACCACACCCACGTCAACGCCTCCGGCGGGTCCGCCGGCTAAGCCCACCCGCCGCACACCCGCCCGCAAGGCCACTGGATTTTCGAGTAGTCAAGGACGACCAGAGCCAACAAGCCAGACCAAGCGGTCAAGTGCCACGGTGGATGTGAAGCCCACTCTACTGAGTGCCCAGCGACAGCTGGCCCAAACACAGAAGCTTACCAACACTCCACCGCGCTACCAGTATTCCGGTTCCCAAACCCCGGGCACTGCTCAAGGTATCTCCAGAAGGCCCACCACGCTGTACGAGAAGGCGGAGCCGGTGCCCGGCTCTCCCCTCCTGGTGCCCAAGTCACCGGCCATTGGCGGGCGGCTGTTGGATCGGCTTAATGGAGCGGCCGGGGCCGATAGACCCTCCGACAAACCCTTCACCCGACAAAACGCTGTGCGATCCACCTTCCATTTTGGCCAGGGTCGCAATGGCAAGCGAGGAGCGGGCGGTGGGAGCGGAGCTCCGGGAGAGGACGACCACTACCAGACGCCGCCACTGTCTGCTGATGACACCAAGCCAGCGTCCCGGGTGGGCTTCTTCTCCAAGCTGACGGCCCGCTTTGGCCGCCGAGTGATCCACCTGAACGAAAAGGATGCCACCGAGCAGCGCAAGAACCTCACCAAATAGCCAGGTGTCCGGCGGACAGCCACCAATATAAATAGAGATAGATAAGGAGAAACCACCCGTAGACCCTTAAGTGATATTGCGGACAACGGATCTTGTGGAATATTTTAAGAAATTGACTTAAATCTAGCTTAATCGTTAAATGAAAATATGTTGCGAGTTGCGATGGTCGTCTTGAACTGAACTTGTAACTTGACTTTGTCCTTGACTGAACAACATAAGCCATCGAATAAATGAATGACGATCGCATAGCTCTCTAGTTTTTTAATAAAATTTTTAAATATATTTTTAATGAGTGTGAATACAAAAGAAAAGCCTTGTTGATATTGATTTGACTTTAACATTTCAGAAGATAAGAAGAGAAAAGAAAAGATAGAAGGATATATTTTAAAAATAACGTAAAAGAAGTTTCAGAGGTCTTCAAAATAACATATTGTAAAGTTACTTTATTTAAATAACAAAAAAGTGACTGTAAAACTGTGAGGTATGGGAACGATCAAGAAGCGAATGCCATTAACCAATTGGGAGGAACGTTAAAGGGGTTCCCAAGTGAAAAAGCAACAGCAACAATTTTAGTTTGCGTGTCGCCTCGACATTAGGAGAGAAGGGTTGGGAGTGAGCCCACCTGAGGGGGAGGAGGAGGCGGCGGAGGCAACACGAAACCGCAATCATTTTGCACTTTTCGAGGCAAGTCCAAGGGTTCGGGTGGTAATTCGAAGGCGTCGAGCGGCGGAAGGAAAAGGCGTTCGCAGCCGAACATAACAATATCCGGAAAGAAACCAATAAACGGGAAATTCCGCAGAAGGGCCGCCGTCTAGGCCTATTTCGGTGGGAACCGAGTTGGGAAAAGGACAGGAAGGAAGCCGAGGGGTGGGTTACCTGGTCGGTGGTAGCCAGGAGGGTGGTTCGGGCCAAGGGCTGATTGGACCTATTCGGAGCGGAAGCAGAGCGTTTAATTCGTTAACTGACTGGCGGAAGAAGGTGGCGGGAGGAAAGTAACAGGTCGCACATAAATTAGACTGCCAGCTAAAGTGCATTAATGTGCATTCCCACTCCCTCCTCGGGACAAGTCTCCCACAAGCCAGTAGTTTTTCCTACCCCCTCTCCAGCCTCCTCCAGCGATTAAACCCTTCCTCCCCTTCCGGCGGCCGATAAGATTGGGCCACAACCGAAATGCAAACAAATATACTCGCGCTCTATTTGCACGGGACTAGAGCTGAGCAGAGCTTCGATTGTTTGCTTTAAGGGTAAACCGCACTCGCATTTATAGATACTGATACTGGCGCAGATACAGATATATGCGTATATAGATGGTGCTGATAAATCCGAATAGTACTTGAAGCAAATAAAAGTGCCTAGGCAAACGGGTCGAGTCAATAATTTAACTAAAAGCGCGCGCCATCGATTAGATAGAGACACCGGCGACAGTCGAGGTTTATGAAGGACCGAATGGATCCGTTTCCGATAAGATACGGCTGGCCAAGTACATCCATCCTTCCCAACTCCCAATGCCGGCGGCCCGAAAGTATGCTCCGCAAAGTTTCGCCCGGAAGTGCCAATAAGAAAGCCATCTAGGGCTAATCAGAAGCGTCTCGCAGAACAAAGGGCCTGGCTAATTTGCGGCAACAACTCGTAACGAGCATGTAAATGAAAGTTTAACTGTAACTGCAACTTAAACCCATGTCGGCCGAGGGGTGGGGCTAAATTGGCCAAGAGGGTAAGCCGGGCGGCGTCTTGCCAGGACCCTTGACATTCAATTGAGGGTGGATTCGTCTTCGTTTTTGCGGGGGGGCAGCACCGCCTTCAAGTGTCTGCCGGCAACGCCTTGAGTGTGACTTGGGTTCGGAGCTCTGGCCACCCGAACCCACCACTGCCGCCCACAATTATGTCAATAGCCAAGTTTTCATGGCCAACAGAGATTTGGTAGTGACAAAAGGTTGCTTGTAGTCGCCTTGCGCCACGTCCCCCTGAGCTGGATCCCTCAGCTTGCATTGTTTACACTGGGTAAATATTTTACGGCCAAGAAGTGCCACAAGAAACTGTTACCGAGTCCCGGGCCAGGGGGCTTAACCTGCTGAAATGTCAAGTGGGGTTGGCGCTTCTTTTGATTTTTCACATTTTTCCTTTCGCTCGCCTTTTGCGGTCGCTTAAGAAATATTTTCCAGGCTTTTCAACTTTTTCCCTTTTTTCTTTCGCTTGGCTTTTTCTTTTGTATTGTTCCTTTCGCGCTTGCCAATTAGTCTGAAGCGATTTCGAATGTCCTTTTCGGCGCCCCCGTCCCAAGGACTTGTGCCGCAACCCTTAATTAATGGCTTGCATATTCCTCAACTTCGGTCTCAGCCCGAGCTTAGTTGGCCAACTATTTTGTCTCATTTTCCGGCTGACTTAAGCGCTTAATAGTTTTCCGCTTTTGCCGGCTATAGTTTCGACTCCTCCCGCCCCTTATTGGTGTGTCTTCTTCGGCTTGCACTTTTCTTGCTCAAGTCGAAACTTTTTCTTATTGGAAAGGGTTAGGAACTCGGCTTGTGTGCGTCCTTAGCTGATGTCCTCATGTACTCTTTATACTTTACTTGTTTTTTGTGGTCGTCCGGCAGTTAATCAATTTTTTTGTCCTTTTTCCCATAGATTGTGTAAAAAGTTTATTCTGCAAGTATGTTCCGACGAGCGAACGAAGTCTTTTTGTGGTTTGGTGCAAGGGAAAAGTTTTAATTAAGAAAACCTTGAAGTGATTTATTGATTACAGCCTCGGCCTGGTCAAACTTTCTGTGGTCGCAGAGCTTGCCTTTGGGTATAGGAGGCTCTGCCAGGAGAAGGAAAAGCCAATTGGGGTAAGTATCTACCTCTTTAGGTATAGCAGATAGAAGAAGTAAAAATGGAAGCAACATTTTCACAAGACGAGACAGCCAATAAAAATGATCTTTCTTTCCTAATAGAGTGACGAGTCAAGTCACCTTTCTGGCTTTCTTCTATAAAGAGGAGGTTCCTCCACGAAGACGGGCCAATGAGAGTCTTCTCATTAAGTAAGTGAGTTCCCCTACTTAGTCACAAAGCCTCTGTGAAGTCAACAAATGCGAAGCGCGGCGAAATCAATTCTCCGTCTCCCTCTCACCGGAGAATATAGAAAAATAACGATTCGCTGCTTACGGAAGCGCAAAGAAATACACCCACTGCTCAGACCCAAGCCCAAACCTATACTCGGTAGGTACCCCATCTCCGTCCGTTCCCCGGAACAACTCACATTGAGTCTGCTCAACTGGCAGAACGAAACTTTGGACCCAGCCCCCCAGAAACTTTGTGCATTATTATTACGGCCACGCTGCTGGCCAATACGCAGTAAGAAATAAAGTCGAGGAAACAACAAACAAACAAAATGGTGAACACTTCCGCTCGGCCCGAAAGTAATTACCGAAAGTCGGTAGTCAGTAGTCGGTGGTCGGTGGTTGGAGGTGGGGGAACGAAACTGGTGAGGTCTCAACTTGGTCTGTGCCGCACATTTAACGCCTCCTCCCCTCGGCGGGCTGTCATTGTTTTAATTGTAAACAATATGAAGATAATCAGAGGGCCGAAATCACTGCGTGGCCGGGGAGGAGCAGCAGCTCAGGTGCGCGGTCTGCAGAGTTCTTGGTGACACAAGCCCTTTCACCTCCACCTGCACCTCTGATTCTGTCTCTGGCTCTGTCCGTCCCTCCATCCACACCAACGCGGCTCACCCGCCGGCGGAAGTGTCGCCGTGACTCCGAAACAACAAAAAAGCGGAACTACTCTTGAAAGATTTGCGCTGGACAGGCACTGGCACTGCCACCAGCACCGGCACCGTCACCGTTACCGGCACCGGCACCTTTACCTGGCCGGTCGGGCTGCTCTGTCTGTGGCTTTTCATCGCACCCGCCAACTTTCGCGGGCTGAGGCTGTCATGAGTTGTTGGCCCTCGCATATTATTAACGTTTTAATACGTATTTGTGCTGCCTCTTTGGTGCGTGCTACATGCCGGGGCGAAGTGGGATTGGGAATGGTATGGGGCATGGGCAGGGGATGAGGGTGTGTCTCAACCACTTGTTGTGGACCGGAGCACGTGGGAAAGTGGAAAGCGGCTATCGATGGAAATGAGACCATTGAGCTTCCGCTTACACTGGACAAATAAATACTATCCAGAGTAGGTAAACTTAATAATTATAATGAATAGGAATAAAAATGTTAAAAAAGATTAGCTATGATTTCCAAGAAATTTGAAGTTTGAAATAGTTAATAGGTTTTCAGGGTGTCAGATAAGTTTCAGTGTAGCTTAAAGCCTTGGCATGACCAGTGCAGGGCGGTGCAGTCGAGCGAGCGAGATAGCACCGAATAGAGCTAGATCGGGCTAGAGCCCGGCGCAGGGAATGCTTGAATGATTCCGCCATGCGAGACGCGACACCAGAGCAGATCGACGCCAAGTGCTCGTGCATCCGGTCCAGTTTTTGGGGGTTGGGCTGGGCTGAGGCTTGATTCGCCTGCTTGTTTATGTAAGTCAATCGCGAATGGGTGTCTCCTCGCGTGTGTGTGAGTGTGTGTTCCTCTCTAGATACTCGATACCAGATACCAGATGCCCGTGCCCATGCCTAGATGGCATCGCACAGATGCTCGTGCTCCCACTTGTCGTGGTACTCGTACTCATAGTCGTACTCATGCATGGCGCGCACCAAATACGAAATAAATTACACTTGATTATCTTGTTGCTCGCCTGGCTGCTGCTCGACCGCTGATCTGTTGCAATAGTTTGTCCATGCCCGAAATAGGCGACACAAAAAACAAGACAGATCAAGTGTCTCTCCAGCACCACGAATTTTGGTTACTCTGGGCTCTAGGGGTATTTGAAAGAAAAACTGTGATTCCTATAATTCCGTATATAGAAGTTTATAAAAATCTAATTGTGATTGTTAAATTTATGACAATATTAATCGATATTTTATCATTAAAAAATGTTTAACTTGCATCGACCAATTTTCTGATAATTACTAAAATATTAATTAGATTTAGAATCAATTTGAATTTCTTCATTTGTTGTTTTAACTTGGTGCTTATTATCCTAATTAGATTTGTAACAAACGTTTTATTTAATATTTGTCTATTAACTAACTTTGAATTATTTATTTGTGGTTAGTAAATAGACAAGCAAACTAAAGATTTTATTATTAAATTATTTGACCAATTAAATTATCTTTTTAAAATATAATTTTTTCTTTTAAATGCATTTTAATCGAGCATTTAATTATACTTGTGTAAAGGCATCAACCCTTAGCAAAATTAAGG